CCCCCCCCCCCCCCCCCCTCTCTTTGTCTAAGCCACATTCCAGTCCCCTGTCCCAATTAGGGGATCTGCTTGCTAGTTGCTACATTTCGAATAGGTTGGGAAACCAGCTTTAATTTTCCGTTAGAATATATTATATTTGCTTGTTGGCTTCTTAGTCCTGTCTTTCCAGCCAGTGTTAATTTTTTGAAGGGGCTAATCATCAATTAATGAGATATACCGCTTCAGAGTGACGTGATTTTTATTTATCAGATAGGATGTCATTTTTCTATCTATATTTTGAAGATTCTTTCAGTTGTAGTTGCAGTGATTTCAGTAGTTGTGATTGTCGAATTATTTGGATCGGTATTGGCATTTTATGATTTGTGGTTGGATTTGGGAGCTTTAATTGCCGAACTAATGTTTGATGTCTGCTGCATTTCATTGGGGCAAGACGAGATATTTGCCCCATGTTTGGTTTCGATTATAATAGATTTTTAGTAGATTTTGTTAAAAGTTGATGAAATGTATAGTTGAAAAATTGATAAAATTTATGGATCCATACAATGTGTGGTTGTAAATGAATTTGGGAAAAAAAAAATGAATTTTAAGAAATAGGGGCCAAATGGGGGCTTTGTCCAGAGTGGCTACACGTTATTTTACCTCACCTTTTTGTATCTAAATAAAAAAAATGGTTCTCCTATTGTTTATCATATCAGTTACAGGGGAACAGTTAGTAAAGTTGAAAGTTGACCAAGCATTTGTAGTATAAAGTATATATAGACTTGATAATGACTTGCGTCAGTTGACATTAGTGTCTATGGTCACATTGACAACTGAAGTTCTTTTTGGATAAACTTTTGAATGTATGCATATATGTGTCAAATTTTTACTTGCCTTGGCAGTGCTTAGTGATACCAGCCATAATTTTTGCATTATATGCATAAAGTGTTAAAATGAATCATGTATGTATATACATCATAATTCTACTTGTCTTGTCAGTATTCCCAGATCTGCAGGAAGGAAGATGAGCTTGCACTATATGAAGGAAATATTGAGAGAATAAGAGATGGTACACATCATTTTCTGTTACATTTAGTTTCAGCTAATATTCTGTATTTTTTATCTTTCAGAATGCATCATGAGTGTTGGTAAATATGCATCTAAATGTACATTCATATATTTGAGGCATATACTGGTCTACGTCTTTCCTGAACCCATTAAATCTTGTCCAACTTTTTAGTTGGATACCGAATGAAATCAATTTTAAGAAGTGTTACCTTTCAATGCCTTCCACAGTTACAAGGTGCTATAAAGAAAAATTTCTAATGGGAACTTTCTACACAATACAGTTCTATGCATTAATATACCATTAGAAATTATGAATATCCAGGCATAGGGCATATTTTGAGCATAGAACCTTAGTTGGGAAAGGTACATGTTAGTTGGGAAAGGTACGTGGATGATGGCGTGATGTTGAAAGGTATCACTTCTTTGCTTGTTTTCGGTAGTGCAGAAAATATGAGAAGCTCTTTATATAAATTTGATCGAAGTACAAGAGTTTATCCTATGTTTAAAGGAGAACTGTGTGAAGCCTTCTTTTGAAGGCCAAGATGAAATTAACTTTTAAGCTGTTTGTTAAAATAGGCTTCTTCTTAATTTAGCATTCATTTTATATTCATTTTACCCATTTTAAAAATAACCTTCAAGGGAAAATTACTTGACCAACTTGATTGGGTTAAGTTACATTAACACCATGCATGTATATATTTTGTTCTCTCACTATTCTCTTTTCTCTGGTGTTCATATACATGTAAAAGCTCATAAATCGAGCTCCAAAATACATTTTTTCATTCACTCCTTTCCAAAATTACTCCAGTTACTATTACATATAAACACGGTTTTTAGGAAAAAGCTGGAAATGAATGAAGGAGAAATTATTCGCTTTAGCCCCTGTTTGGTGGCCATTTTTTTTGGAAAAATATTGTTTTGGATAGTGAATTTTTGGAGAATGTGTGGTTAAAAAGTAAGAAATAGTTTTGGATTTATGTGTAGAATATTTTAGTGTGAATGTGTGGTTGAAATGAGTGTAGAAAAAAGAGTTTTGAAAGAATGAGAGATAAATATGGTCTAAATAGATGGACAATTTTGAATTATGGAAAATTGGCAAAAGAATTGACTTGTTTAAGAATTTTATAATAAGTCTATTTTTTATTCTCTCACTGTGATTGTCCTAAGAAATATTTTTTAATTTTTTTATGAATATGATTGATGATTCCTATACGTAATGGAAAATAAAACTTCTAAATCATATTTTTCCACGTACTAGGTAATGATGTTGGTTTAGCCCTTCAATGCATCAAATCTATCACGAGTGATCCTATTAGTGTCTCATCAAAGAGTGAAATCCGAGCTGAAGACCAGGCTTTTCAACCTGGTGAAGATCATCCTGAATCCCAACTGAAGTGGCAAACAAGATTGTCTGGTAACCCTGGGAGTTCTTCATTTCAGGTAGGTTCTCATTTTTTTTCTCAGTGGAGATTTACGTAGTTTCTGTATCTTATTCAGGAAAAGTATCAAGTATTGTGAACTTTATTGCGCAAATTCTAGAAAACCCTCTGGAAAGAGATGATCAAACCCTGGGAAACTTGAGCATCATCTTAATGGCTGAACTTAAAATCGTAATAAATCACTGACAAATTATCAAAGTAGGACAAGAATTGCCAGCACACAGTGAATATGTTTGGAAAAATTAGGACAGAATATGCCGTAATTTTATGTAACCAAAAAAAGTACTTTTGAATACAATAAATTATGTTGTTCAAATATTACATGTACATATAATAAAGAGGGATAATTGTAACAGTGGAGTAGGTCATCTTTGGTGGCTTAAATGAAGACCAGAAGAAGGGTCTCAGCGCTCACTTCGGCATGCTACAGTTGGCTAAACATTGCCAGATGTATACAATTCTCTCTTTATTGTTGTGTCTTTCCCAACCTACTTAAATAAGATCTTGTATCAGTAGCAATTCCAATACATATTTCAGGGGGTTGGTACATATTTAAGGAAACTATACTGGAAATTTTCCGGAAGTTTTTGATCGTGATGACTATATTCTAAAGATTTTGACGAAATCTACTCTTTTTACATTTAAAGTTATACAATGACGTGGAGGGTGCTATACCTGCTATCATCTACCAGTTTTGGTATCACACTTAATTGCCCGAGTTTGTTTCCAAACTTATTTCTTGGTCACAGATTTCCCTACTATTTCTTGAACTAGTCTGATATCCAAAATGGGAAAGATTAACTATGTTGATGTGCGCTTGTATATATTGGCACATGTTGGGAATTTGTGTAATTAACACTTTCATGAGATCGACATGTCAGTCACGAGGACATGCTAGTATGTCTCGGACGTGTGTGTATTAGATTTGATATTATTTATTTCATAAATTGTTTTTCTTTGGTTTCTTTGGTTCAAATGGAAATAGCTGCTGCAGTTGGTTTGTGAAGTGGGCACAAATTCATTGAAATAAGGCTCAGCTTCTTCTTGTTCCATCATACGCTTCTCCAACTTTGTCTAAATAGTAAATAGCCTGCAATTCTAATGTAAATGAGGGAATCAGAAAAAGCATTTTCACATACAAGATGATGATAAAGCATTTTGTTTCTCATGTGTGCATATATGTATAGATATGCATATGCATGCATATTTGCAGGGGTGAGGTTGGCTTTAGTTATTTTTTTTTTTTTTAAGCATTTATGTTAGTTTTCATCTTTGTGATGTGGATATGATTCAGAAATACTTGATGAAAATTTTCATTTGAAACTTTGTGCTTTATTTTTTTATTTTTTAACTTTAAATTGTTAATAAAGTTTCGCTGGACAGGACTTGGAGTCCATGTGTCTAAAGAATAACTGGAGACTACCGAGATATTTTGTGGAACCATCAGATGGTAAGATTTTATAATTTGATGCGTGAATCGTCTGTTAGGTGGAAAGATATTATAACCTTGCTACATTATACTTATGTCTTTATTTTTCACAAGTTTTTTAACCTTTGGACCCTGAGGTCTCAACTTCACAGCTCTTTTTCCACGAGGAATTTGTCTAGAAACTTTTGGTTCTAGCCATATAAGCTTGTTGAGGATTCGTCGGTTCTAATTATATAAGAGCTTGTTTGTTTAGTACAAATTAAAATAAGATTTTAATCTAAGTCAAAGTCAAACAATCAATATTAACCACATCTTTCATGTGTCCCACGGCTTTTCAACCAAACATTTTAAAAATTTCTATCAAAATCTACTAAAAATCTAATTTTAATCCCAATCAAACACCCCCATGGTCTTTTGTAGGTGCCCACAACATTTCTTCCACCTTGAATATATTTTGCTTGCACAAGCTAATGTGTTCTCTGACTCTCTCCTAGAATTTGAAGAGGCCAAAACTTGAATGGTTAAGCTAGAACTTTATGATGGGTTTAGAGTGTGTGTTTCCATTTGTATTTGTGGGATCGTATGCATGTCTTTCTTATTGTGACTTTTTCTCTTCGTGTTTGTTCAAATGACAATCATATTGTTGAACAACTTGATTTAAAAGCTTAAACTCTTAGATGTAACCAAATATATATATAATTTAAATAGTCTTTTAACATGACCCCTCATGTAGGCGGGATTTTTTTTCCTGTCAAACCCTAAATTGTTGATAATTCTTTTGATACTTGAACTCAGGATCTCTATCTGCTCTAATATCATATTGAACTGCTTGATCTAAAAGTTTAAGCTGTTAGATACGGTCAAATGTATATCATTTAAAATATTGCCTTCAATGTATATACTGCAATCTCACTCACTGCATTTCTTTAGGTAAATTTACAGCGGAGGTTGTATTGAAAGGGAAGGATTTCAAGTTCTCTTCTACAGGTGATCATAAGACCAATCCTCGTGATGCAAGGGAGTCTGCTGCGGCCCGGTTGGTTGGTAAACTACGGAATCTCGGCATGTGATCGAACAGTTGTTTGGACGTCATGCTTTCTTAATCTCAAGTTCACCTTTTTATTAGTAGCACTATCAGAAATATCAGTTATGTCGATGTTATATTACAATGTCTGAGTGAAATGGCATTGTGCAACTATCTGATGACGAGGCTCGTTTTGTACATTCAGCAGATGGACTTTTGTCTCTGGTCTAGTGACTAAGAGCCTGCTATTCTCTTGATTGGCAAACTATGCCGGATATTCTGAGTAATGCATGTGTGTGTATATATATATATATGCTTGTGATTGTGTTCTAATGTTAGATGAGTTTTTGTTGGGAAACTCGTTCAACCCAGTTGAGTAGCCCCGGATCCCACCACCATGACTGATGCCGACACTGTGAGCTCCTCCTGCAGCGGCGGGAATAACAGGTCCAGGAATGGTAGTAATAACAACGGGCTTGATATCACCTGGGCTTGGCTCGACGGGCTGGGTCTGATTTTGAAAACCCAGTCCCATTTTGTTGCTTTCTTGACCCATCTGATGTGGCACCATCAAGTTCGCACCTTGCTGCATTATTTTCCTGTTTCTTGGAAACAGCGCCACCAGAAACCACCACTCCACCACTACTGCCGTCGCTACTAATCACCTGTTTAACCTCTTCTTTCGTAGATAAATAAAGCTTCAAGCTAATCTCACTGCACACGTGCGAAAACAATCTCCTTTTATCCAGCGTATAAAGCTGGGCCATTTCTTCACCTTCTTTCGCAATGCTCGAGCGCCTTTGCCTCCCAAAATAATGTCTTGTGCTTCCCTCACTCACTCTCAAATACCATAGCTTTGGCGAAAGGTAAACCTTGGACTCGATCAAATTCAAACCATGAAAATGCACATTAGCTGCCTTTGCCTACGGAGACGCAGAGATGGCAGTTTGAAATGAACTGCGATGCTGCTGTCAAATGAGAGGAAGGTGTAATGGACCTTGGCGTGGTTTTTCGGGGACCATTAAATCATTTATTTCGTCGGACATTGTTTCTTTGTTTATTTTGTGAGGCATCCTGTGTCCTAGAGGTGTCAATCCGGGTGGTTTGGGACGGGTTAATCTGCCAACATATGAGCTTAGTGGTGGTAAAAAAACTCGTTGGCTCAGACGGCTCGGGCTCGGTGGAACAGAGCCTAGGCTTGGGCCAAGCCCCATTTAGGGGGTTTAGCCCGTGATTAATAAAAAAAAATTAAAAATAATAATAATAAAAATTTTTAAGCTAAAATAGCTGAAAAAATAAAAATAAAAAATCGAGCCGGCTCGGTTTGGCCCGCTAAGGCTCGGGCCAAAGCTCGGGTCGAGTTTTATTTTTTGAGGAAATTACACGTACACCTGCTTTTAGATTACCAATTTCATAAATCTTGGATCAAGTTTCATTTTTGCAAAATTCAAGTTTTAATTAATAATTAAAAAACATTATTTTTATTTTTATATCTATTTAAAATAAATTAATTTATATACACTCCTCCCCCATATCCTATCCATCCCCAAACCCTAAAAAGGATTAACCCATCCTCTCCACTTCGACACCGTCGTCGCCGCGCCGCTCCCCGCTACCGTCGGTTCATCTATCCTCCTCGCTACGATCGGTTCTTCTCTCTGTTGTCTGCTCTCCTCCCCGTCGCCACAACAGCCTTCGACCCTTCATCCACTTGACACGGCCGTCGACGCTTATTCTCCATCATCTCTGTAGCTCGTCTTCACTATCCCTCTCTATTTTCTGTTCGTCGCCACATTACCGTTTACAAGGACACAGCAGTCGGCAGACGACACAGCAGCGTGCGTCGTGAACAGGAGAGTTCGAACCTACAGAAGCTCACATCGCCGACACATCGTCGTCTTCCAGCTGCAGATCTGATTTTTTCGTTTTTTAACTTTTCAGTTTCGATTTTGATTTTGGTTGGATGGGTATGGTGATTTTAATGGTTGATGTGTTGTTAGTGTTGCTATGGTTGTTATGGCGGATCTGGCGGCGATTTTGGTGTTGTTCAGTGTGTTGGTGTGCTTTGGTGTAGCTCGGGGTTTTTTGGATTGTCGAAATCGCCCATTTCGTAGTGACTTCGTGGTTTTTGTCATTGGTGGAGTGGTAGTGGCGACTGAGGTTCAGGGTTTGGGTGGTGTTGGCGGTGGTTGTGTGTACTGAGTGTGATTTGTGACTTACTGGTGGTCACAAACGATCTTTGGTGGTGGTCACAAACGATCGTTGGTGGTAGTCACAAACGTTTTGATTGTATGTGACCATTAATTATTAATTGTGACCAAAAAATTATTAGTTGTGACCTAAAAATTATTAATTGTGACCAATAAATTGATAAATTGTGACCTAATTAAGTATTTTGACTTAAAAATTTTATGATTTGTGACCGATGAAATACTTGTGACCTTTAAATTTTTGAATTGTGACCTTAAAATTTTTGAATTGTGACCAAATTGTATAAATCTGTGACTATTATATATTTATTAAGAAAACATAAAATTAATTAAGTAATTCATAAATAAATTTAAATAAAAACCTGATTTTTGAAATTTAAAATACCTAACCTTAATTTTGAAATGTGTATAAGTAAAAACAGGATTTATGTATTTTTCCCCTATTTTTTTTGGTCGGGCTCGGCTCGGGCCCGAAAAATGTTCGAGCCGAGCCCGATGTTTTTTTTTTTCGGCTCGACTCGTTGACATAGCTATATGAGCACGGTAACGATCTGCGTGAATAAAAGTCCGTTCGCTACGAGTTTTGGGTCGGTTTTAGGTCGACCCATAAAATTTGGACTACAATCCGGTCCGTCAGCTGACCCATCCGGGTAGAGCCCATGCAGGTTAGGTCGTGCGGGTCGCGGTTTGTT